ATGATCTGGGTGCGGACATAGTCCTTGTGGTCGCTGAATATGCGGCTGTCGATCAACTCCTGGGAGCAGCTGGCGAGGTCGTCTTCGTAGTGGAGGAAGCGGTCCCGGCAGCACGAGACCAGGCTCAGCCAGCCTCGCAGGGCATCGTCCAGCTCCTCGTGGCTAGTATCGCATGCAGACTGTAGTATCTTTCCAAGCTCGTCCCAGAACTGCTGCTCCGACTCGATCGCGCAGCAGATACCCTCATCCTGGCACGCCATTATTCATGATTGTCGTGGAGGTCTCGTGAGTCTCGTAAGTCGTGCGATGTCGTGTGTCGGTTCCCTTTCAAACTCTCATGTGCGGTAGTGGTAGAGCGACTGGCATCGCGAATCTGTAGCTGCTTTCCTGCGGGGAACTACTGCGTTGCGTGAGGTTATACACGGGAGTGCTTTCAAAGAGAGAATATCGTGGGTGGCCGTGGCCGAGGCAGATATGATGTATAATTGTCAGCTGGTGTAAAAGTTGAGCCCAATGAACGACGTTGGTTGTTCCAATTCGACACACCAGCAGCAGTTGACCAAGCAGCCAAAACAGGCCGAGGGGAAGCGGCGGCTTCCCCCGCTGAAACTCATACGCCGAGACATGGACCTCATCACACGTTTGGGCGAGGCCCATAATTTTACGCACCTTTCTTCTAGAGGTCACCCCGCAGCTTCTCTGGCGCCGGAGTGACATCACCCTGCTTCAAAGAGCTGTGCCTTCCAGGTTGTGGTAAGGTAGTCCCAGTCATTTCACGACCTGCAGCTATGAATTATAGACGGGAGGAAATCTGATGGGTACTATGATCCTCACCAGTACTCACATACCCAGATCTCGTATCAACGCATCTTCCCCTAAACGCCAGGCTACTGCTAAACTTCGGGATATCATGATAAAAAGAACCTTGGATCCAACAAAATGCCACCGTCCCTCGGGCACCAATACACAGGTACACTTGCACACACCTCCCACACCAGAGACAGCCATTGCTACTCCTCATAGATCTTGACCTTCTCAGCGTACTCCCGGATATTGCTGACAACCATCTCCTCGATGGTATCGCCACGTCCAGCAGCAACCTTCAGAATCAGCTCGTTCAGCTTCTGTCTGCCGAGGATATCGACGTGGTCTGCGGTATTCGGCCCTCCTCTCGGATTAAACCTCTCGGGTTCATGCGGCATCTCCACCACCGTCACCTTGACCCCGGCCGGATTGTACCGCTTCATCTTCCACCCTTGGTTGCACATGTACCCCGTGCTGAGCAGGTTGACCGTGCCGTCTCCCTCGCCGAGTATGACGCCGTGGTCGGCGCCGCCCTGCATCAGAGCAGTGTCGATGGTTATGTTCAGATGAGTCGTCAGGGGCGACTCAGGGGAGCGGTAGAAATATCCCCTTTCTGTTGGCTTGCCGACACCATAGAAGCAGTAGACCCTGAGGCTCGGAGCCAGCGGCAGCCGCGTCTCGAGCGGGTTGATCCACTTCCGGGGGTCATTCTCGTTCGCCTTGACCTCTGCGCTCGTGTGGGCTACGCCATGGGAATAGCTGCCCTTGACCGCATCCTGATACCAGGGCTCCGTCGTGTTGAACAAGTACTCCATAGCTCCCTCGACCGTCAGATTTCGGCCGGGCGTCGTCCAGTTCATGCCCGACCGGAAGTTAAGCAGTGATCCGTACGAGTACTCCTGCCCTGGCGCATCGTCTGGCGCTGAATCGAGATCACCCCAGATGGCATCTCCGCCGATCGGCAACATGGACGACAGACCCGGCATGGCGCGAAAGATTTCTGCTCTTTCTTCCTTGCTCAGGAACTTCTCTAGTCCATATACGGCAAATGCGTTCAGCTGGGCCGTGTCGCGCATTTCACCCGAGAGGACGGCAGTGACCGCCTTCACTGCCCCCAGCATACAACCGCTGACGTTGATCCACGCCTCTACGTGCTTTTCAACCCAGTCATCTCCACCACGGCCGCCTTTCTCGGACGCGACCCAGTGAAAGAAGTAGAATAGCACCTGGCTGCCCATGCTGTGCGACGTGAGGACCGCTTTCTTGCCAGAAAAGCCCACCGAGGTCTCGATGTATGACTTTAGCCTCGTAAAATATTGGTCCCGCACCTCGAGATTGGCGTACGACAGTCGCCAGTCGTAGGCTGCCGTGAAGCTGTTGGTCGGGTCATAGCCGAGGGAGGCCAAGTTCTCGAGTATCTTGTTCCAGATCCAGTATCCCGTGATGAAGAAATCGGTAGCATCGAAGCCCTGGGCCGCTCTCAGCTTGATGCCTGGTGGATCCAGTCCCGTATATTTATCGAGCATAATGTGTCTTTTCCACACTTCCTTTTCCAGCACCAGTGCCCGCATCATAGTCCAGCTGCCCCAAAGGCGCTTGCGAAAGAATGGACGCGAGACATTCGTGGTGCCCCAGGACTCGAGGCCGGTTGAGATGACGCCCGGAATCATGACTATGGGGTGCACGGCAGTCATGCCTTCGGCGCGAACCTTGAGCCCGACTGAGAACGCATCGTACGTTTCGAGGAAGTCTCGTTCTCCTTTCTGTTATTGGCACGTGTCAGGGGGAGAAACATTTGCGGTAGTTTGTGCCGGGTGGGAAGGCAGCTTACCACGAGGTCGCGCATATCCTTCACCAGACCAGCCGGTAGGACATCGAGCAGGCTGTCCATGCTCAGCTCGCCGATGTCCGGCAGGTTTATCAAATCATTGCTGTTTGCGAAGAAGCCGGCAATGACTATGCCAAACAGACTGCCCAGCAGGAATATGGCCGTTGTCCTCCTCTTCCGCGTCTTCTTGTGGTGATGTGCGACACTGATCTTCTCGTTCAGCTCGTGGTCTTCCAAGGTTACCGGACCTTCCGGTGGCGGGCTTTCGTCTTGAGGAGTGGGCGTTTCGGAGGGGGTTTCGGGAGTGTCGAGAGTGTCGGGGGTGTCGTGATCGTCGGCAGGAGCCCGTCGACGGCGGAGAGCGGACGCCATGACAAGCGCGCCGTAGACTGCCCCTGGGGACACGAAGCTGGACGAACTTCAAGGAAGACCCTGAATATCCGTTTGAGTGGTGACAGGCCGGGTTAACACACCATGTGTGTGCACAGTGCTACACACGAGCACCGCCGTGTCGGACGCGGGAAGCTTCGAGGTTTGAGACTTGGCACAACGGGAGATCAGCAGACACCGTGGACTTGCACGTTCGACAAGTGCCACCAGAAAGTGCAGTGGAACCGCGCCGGGGTCAAGAATCGGGTCCAATGTCCGTCCAATTAAAAGATCTGGCCGTCCGGGAGGCCACTTGGCGTCGAGATCTTGCGATGAGATTGTTATCGGATGCGTTCCTCTCGGATGTCCGGTTCGTTTTTGTGACGTCAGGGGAAAAAAAGAGCAGAGAATGGAAGGCGGGCCCAAAGGCGGTACGTACCCTTACCTGTTCATTACCCGCAGGAAGGATGGCGCTAGCTGCGCGCAATTTCGGCCAATAAAACTTCTGCAAACGGTCCGACATGTGGGATCCCGGCATCCCGCAGCTCTGTTAAGCGAAAGTCTGGCGGCTTTCACATGCAATCGCTGGCTCACCCCTCTTGGACACCTATCAGCAGAGCGCCAAAAGCGGCAGCAACCGAACTCTCACCTCATCTGGTCCGGTCCCTGGCCCTTGCCGATTGCTGGAAAAGCTGTGAAACTGCCGATGTTGCATGCCCCTGGTCCATGACACTTGCGTGCCAGCTCTGAGCTTATAATCAACCCACTCTCCTCCAGCCCGTCTTGTCTCCCTCATCCCCGTCTTCTGACTGTTCTTCTCCCTCATCTTCCCCTGAACTGGCATACAGTGTGACATGAGTTGATGAGATGGACAAGACTCCTCGCTTGGCAGAACTGCCGGCCGAGCTGCGCTTTATCCAGTACGAACATGGACTAGAGGAACAGTACCTGCCCGCCATCCGGGCTCTCATCTCCAAAGACCTCAGCGAACCATACAGCATATACGTCTATCGCTACTTTCTATACCAATGGGGCCATCTATGTTTTATGGTATGTATCCCTCTCGTGCTTATTAACCCTCACTACGAAACATCGTGGCTTACATTCCATCTTCTAGGCTCTGGACCCGGCCGACGCCTCGCTGATAGGCGTCATCGTCTGCAAGCTCGAGACGCACGCCTCCCACTCGCCAGCGACACTCCGCGGCTACATTGCCATGCTGGCAGTGTCGTCCGCCTACCGCGGCCATGGCGTGGCCACTGCTCTGGTCAAGCGAGCAATCGACGCCATGGCACAACGCAACGCCGACGAGATCGTCCTTGAGACGGAGGAAAGCAACATACCGGCCATGAGACTGTATGAGCGGTTGGGATTTCTACGATCCAAGAAGCTGCATCGCTATTACCTGAACGGCAGTAGCGCCTACCGTCTTGTGCTGCTGCTGAAGCAGCTCGATCCGGATGCAGCTACGGATTTGGCACTCGACAGCCCTCCTGCTGTGGCGGTCTAAGGCCGATCACCAAGTCTATGACGACTTGGGGGGAGGGCGATCATATGGTCCATGCGGTATTCGATCACGTCAGATTGATGGGGAGTAGACTGAATTGCGTCCAGGGGAGGAAGCCGGACACAGGCATATATTTGTTTGAAGGAGGCCTCGGCGTTTGCGTACAGCCACGAGAGTTACCAGGTCGAGGTGGGCTAGGAGACCATCCTCTGTTTATGGTTAGGTATATGGATATAAGCGGATGGGACATGCAGCATATGAAAGAGCATACGCATTGGCAGGCGTTTATATGGATGCTGACTTACATTATGGTCTCTCGACTGAAGCGTTCGTCTGTTCCTGTTGCCCTGTCCTTACGGGGCGGATCCTCCGTCCGATCGTTGCGTGAGTCATGGTAGAATGAGCTCGTCGCCCACCAACACGGTGATGCATAACGTCAAGCCCCTGGGGCAGAAGGGACGGATTAGCAACGCACACATCCATACAATTAACAGCTGCGTGGCGCAGTGGAAGCGCGGTAAGTCACTAAAACTCGCACATCAATTGTGATCCATTGTACTGACAACAAAATAATAGCCGGGCTCATAACCCGGAGGTCCTCCGATCGAAACGGAGCGCAGCTACTCCTTTTCTTTGTTTTTGCCTTTTCGCACTCTTACTCCTCTGTTCCACGGCCCAAAGCAACGACCATATCTTCGCAGCAAGGGTATCACACAAATGATGTTGACCGAAGTACAACCACCCACTCCCGTTATGCATCTTTGTCAGCCATGTACGCGAATATCTCGGTCGAAGAATACTAGACATCAGTTCAGCAAAATTCCCACGACACGATGCTTAGACGGCTTACCAGAGACGCCTTGATATCCCATGCATTCTTGCTCCCGATTCCCAGGTAAGTGTACGCATCTAGACGGTCAGCACGTTACCCTCCCAGAGCGATCCAACTCACTCACCGCACTTGTAGTAAATTGGCCTGCCATTCGCCCTCACCAGCTCCAGTTCCCTCATCCGCTTCAGCACCCTCGCAATGTCGTCCTTATCCCTAAAGTCGACGGTATAGATGCAGATCAGCCTTGCCGATCCCGTGCCGTCATTGGGGGCAACCTTGGCCCCAACACCCAGCTCACTGGCAGCAGTAGCCCGCGCAACAACTGTCCAGACATCATCCACGTAACTCGGATGGGGGAACAGCATCCACTTCCCGCTGCGAACGTGCAGATGATGCGCCAGATCCAGGACCTGCGACACAGCCTGCGCGCGCTCCTGGTTGATCTCACGGGCGGCAATGGTCTTGCTCCGAGCCCCGTCTCGGGTCTTGGAGATGAACTCGGAGAGGAGGTGCAGGCGCTCCATCCCGCCCTGTTCGAAAATGCGGAGCTCGGCGCCGGATTCCAGAACTGCCTCGTCTTCGTAGCCGGATCCATGCTGGTTTGCAGCTTTGGACCTGGACTCGCGCGGAATGAAAGGGTTGCAGATCCAAATCCAGTGCTCGTCTGCTGTCACGCGGGTTGTGGACGGTGGTACGCGGGAGAGGAAGGCGTCTACTGTCTCGTCCAGCTTCCATGCGTACCGGAAGCCTTCGTAGGGGTTGTGCAGGTGGCCTGTCTTTGACTCTGGGGATCCGGATCGCTTGATGGTAGGGTTGGGAGTGGTGAGCTTCAGATCCTGAAGAGCTGTTGTGCTGGGGTCGAAGGAGGAGACTCTGGCGTTCAAGTCGGATTTGGTCTCCTCGTTTCCTACACTTGAGTTAGTTTGACTGACATTTCTTCATCTACAGCTGCAGAGGAATCACACATACCGTAGAAGTCTGAATCCGAATCCATGATTCCTCACTCAACCGGGAACTGGCAATTCTGGACGGAAAGAGATGCAGTAAGAGCTCGCAGGTAAGGAGGAACCGCAACCTATTCCGGGACAAAACGAAGAGAGTAACTACTTCATCGTAGAAATTTGGTACAGCTCGACTGAGAATGCCTGGCTATTTAGGTAATTTCGTCTCGGAAGGCAAAGCAAAGCGAGCCACTCAAAGCTGATGTACTGGACCATGCTCTGATGTGAAATCTGAGGTGCAAGAGTCGGTCCAGCTCTGCCCCTGACAGTACATAAACCGTGTTGCTTGATTGGACAGCAAAGTAAGCCGAGCTCCACTATACATCAACAAACGCTTTTCAAAGGAGAGCTGGAGCAAACAACTGATCTGAAATCGATCAATCTCACAACCCAAAGGTACCAGGTACCTCAAGGTGTGTACATCACGTTTGTATAAGTGCATGCGATTGCTCATATTGTTGCATTTAGTAAGATTCATGACAAATACCAACTGCATGCCTACCTTACCTAGATTTTGACTAACAGAGACACCAGGGTTGATCCAAGGCACATTAGACCAGCTTGCGAGACATCCTCAGTTCAGAACCTTGGTAGAGAGGTACCAGGTAACTGGACTCGTCTACCTATTTCTCCTGAGCAATCCCTCGGGACCATGGAGAATGATGGCATGCCCATAGCGTCCCAGGCGTCTCTAACGCTGGAACTACCTCCAAGCTGTCTTGAGTTCTCGCCTCTTCTTCCTTCCTATTTCCTTGTTGGAACCTACAATCTCCAGAAGAACGACGGGGAAGCGGGTGACGACGACCCTTCTTCGGCACCTCAAAGGCGCAATGGAAGCATCGTCGTCTACGAGCTTGTTGGCCAGGACATACTCCATGTGCAGACACTGTCGCGGCCATCCGCTATCTTGGACCTCCGTTTCCAGCCTTGCCCGGGTAACGAGGATATTGTGGGTGTGGTGTCAAGCACCGGTACGCTTGAGATATTCAAGTTTGCGGCTTCTTCGTCTGGCCCGCCCTCCTTGACTTTACTGAATACGCTGAGGCCCCTTGGAGAAGACGACAGCCTCCTGTTTCTTCAGTTTGCTTGGTATCCTACCCTCCCTGATATGGTTGCTATCAGCACCTCGGCAGGTGAGGTTAAAATCCTGCAGCTTGGACCGGACTACAAGACGGCTGTGGCTGTGGCTGCGGAAGAAAAGTGCATCGCGGCTCACAGCGACAACGCCTGGTGTGTTACCATGTCTCCCGCAATCCCATCACCGGAGGAGAGTGCATCTCCCAAGTTCACCATCTACTCCGGAGGTGACGACTCGGTCCTACAGTACGCAACATGCGTGTTGACGGAGAAGCCAGCAGGGGAGCAGGGGGGGTTAAACGTCCAGCTACCATACGAGACTATGAGGATCCGTGGCCACGAGGCTGGAGTCACTGCCATCTTACCGTTACCCTGCGGGAAGGACATTGTTGTGACAGGTAGCTACGACGACCACATTCGAGTCTTTTCAATACAACCTCTCCATGAAACGTACGGTCTCCGAAAGACAAGTCTCCTGGCAGAAGTCAACCTGGGTGGAGGGGTGTGGCGGTTGCGTTTGGTCAAGGTCGATTCGAGTGCTCAAGGGGGAGGAGGAGGCGGTTGGACAGCCATCATCCTGGCGTCCTGTATGCATGCGGGCGCGAGGATAGTGCGAATCAAGGGGTCGGCAGATGGCAATCAGGACGTTGAGCTGGAGATTTTGGGACGGTTCGAGGAACATAAGAGTATGAACTATGCCAGTGATTTCCAGCCGGGCAGCGAGCGCGACGGGGATAGCGAGTTGGTATGTGTCTCGACCAGCTTCTACGACAAACTGCTCTGCCTCTGGACCGTCAAAATTGGGTGACCGCGGTGGTTTCGATGGGCTTGAGGAACCCGCGGAGACTCGAACAAAGCAGTTCGGCCATAGGATAGATTTGCGTTGGAGCAGTCATTGTCGACGGCCTGCGGACGTTGCGCAACTTGATGGCCAATTACTACGCAGCGAGGAACTAGCCAGGCACACATCGTCAACTGTGTAAGGCATCGCGAGATGGCGGTGGCGGGCCGTTGAAGGGACTGGACCTATCAATACCAGCGGGAAGCTTCGGATATCCGATATACTAGTCTAGACGAGGATATGTCGAATGCTCAAAACCCCATCTTGTCAGCTGAAGAGCCCTGTGGAACCCGCTTTAAAACAATAAGTTTCTCTGTTGAGGTACCTTCCAGATTACTGGGAGACCCCTTGCATGCGGACGCTGAATCAATGTCCGACAGCACCGACCAGACCCCACCGCTAGCGCGTTTGTCCAAAGCTCACACCGAGACCTGAGCGCGACCAACGCCCAACTTATTTATTTCTGTAACAAAAGCGCAAGTCTTACTCTACACACTTTGGCCGACCCAACTTCCAGAATACTGCTATACCACGACTACAACGGACGGGGCCACGTATCGATACCTCTCACGTACATCTGACTGCAGAGACATCCCCTCGCTTCTTGTTCCAAGAGAGACTGCCCATCCTCTCGTATTCCTTTGGGGGCGCTGGTTGTGATTCCAATTCGCAAGACGCCGCCTCGGTGACTCCCGTCGGGGACGCATTATCCCACTCGAGATTTTCGGTTTTGCTGTTCGTGTGTCTCGCAGGACCTACATGACGGTGCCTGAGCCACTCGAAGTGGCGGGATAACCTCTCCATTCCGACACTCGATAACAACGATACACGATACACGACATCGCACGACCACCATGAACGGCATGGCGCTCAACGGAGCTGCTCCCGCCGGTGCGCTCTCCGCCGACGTCAACGGCACCGACCCCATACTCTCCCAGATCCTCGAAGCCCTTAATGTCGTCCACAACCCCTACTCGCCAAACCAGTCCCGGCAACAAGCCCAATCCCTCCTCGAGAGCGTAAAGGCCTTTCCAGAAGCTCCCCAGCATGGCTTCACCCTCGCCTCGGACAAGGCACATGCCCCCATACTGCGCCATTACGGCCTCTCTTTGCTCGAGCATGTGGTGAAGCACAAGTGGAGCGAATACACCCCGGACCAGGCCCAGTACCTGCGTGGCTGGATTCTCCAGCTCGCACAGAATGTTTCCAAGGATGACCCCCTCTATATCAGGACCAAGATAGCCCAGCTATGGGTCGAAGTGGCTGCCCGGTGCTGGGGCTCCGAGTGGATGGATATGGATGAGCTCTTGGTTCAGATGTGGCAGGTCAATGACTCCGCAGTCCACAAGGAGCTCGTGTTGCAAATCCTCGAGACACTGTCCGACGAGGTCTTCAGTGGCGACAGTCCGATTTTCTCGGTGCGCGAAAGCGTCCTCAGCAAGGCTTGCGTCGAGATCTTCACCCCTGCCGCTCTCTTACTGGAGGCCTTTCCTAAAAGACAGGAAGGACCAGTAGTCCGCTGCGGCGAGGAGGGCTGGCTTCAGAGAATCGGCGGCTTCTTGAACGACTGTCTCAACGGAGACATGCAGACTTACGACGAATTGGCCACGTGTGCCACCAGGTCTCTGGCCGTTTTCTACTCCGTTATGCCCTGGGCCATCCCAAAAGCCATCAGCTCGGCTCAGTGCGTTCCGTACATGTGCAAGGGACTAGCAACCTCACACCTAGGCGTCCAAAAAGCCGCTCTGGAGGCACTCCATGCTCTGTATTCTCGCCACAGCTTCACTGAGGACGAGTTCACAGCGCTCGTTCTGCCCATGTATGATGCGGAATTCGTCAATCTCTGCGGGAGGCTCTTCGAGTGGTCGACTG